AGATCACTAAATCATGCTTGCTTTGTAAAAACGCAGAGTGTTTTTTTGCCATTTCTATCAGTCTTAAAAATCCCAAATAACATAACTACAACCTACTGCATTCCTTCTTTTATTCCAGGACACAAATATCAACTTCTGGAAAAACTATTTGCGCTTTCCATCATGATACTCCAAAGCACTCAGAATTAGTCATTTAATCTCTATCCAGGCTAAAATGGCTTACTAGAGAAATTTCAGCTTAATAAATTATGTATAAGAATTCTCTCTTTTATGTAGTATGTGCGATCATTTGAGCAATAACATCATTTATGGCTGCAGCAGAATGAACTGAGCTACTGCACTGTGGTACAACCCAGTGTAAATTAATATTGGTCACAAAGCTCATACACATGGAAAGAAGCAACTGCCAAAACCAGAACACTTGCAAGTGCTGCCAAAGGCCCTACACATTCCTAAAGAAGGTGCCAGCAAACTTGCACCTCATCACAAGCAAAAGACAATGACGAGTGGCTATGATGCAAGCTTCTCACTTCTTACGCTTCTACTAAACTGGAGCTATGAAGTCCAGGCTGGAAACCCAGAAGTGTTTAAATATTTGTTGGGGAACAATAGACCCCCATGCGGCCTGGGAAACCTGCTGCCCTCCAAACCTGCAACATTTCCCTTTTATCTACCACATCCTCCATCAGGGTGAGTTTGTCACTTGGCCATCCCACACGCCCCCAGTGTCTACACTCTGGATCCTCTCTGAGGCTCCAAAACCAGATTAAAATGTCAAGTTAACCTGCTTTAATTTCACAACTTTGTTACAGCAGGAAGTGTGCTGAGAAATCCTCTGTCAGCTTCCTTTCAGCTGCAAAGCCCTTGAGTCTGACACACAGCCACTTGCAGCCACAGACTGCAGTTCCAGTTCCTTAAGATGTCGGAGAGACAGATGCAGCAGCTGATTCTCTCCCTGCTTCCAGTTAGATGAAAATGTCAATGACTGGTAGCAGAAAGAGTTAATTAAAGGTCTCCTTTCCCTTCCCCTTTAGGAAAAATAAAAAGGTTTTCTAAGTCTGAGCTCCAGCCAGAGGTAACTAGACAGCTAACAACTTCAGGAGGAATTTTAGTTACTTGAGGAACCTGCTCAGGGAGTCACCTGACAGTGAGATGACAGTTTTAGAAAAGAGAGTATTTCACTGGCATTTGTCATGAAAGTGAGTGAAAGGAAACTGTTTTCACAGCACAGACACAGACAGCCATGGCATGCCAGGGACAGAGCTCTGGAAGCATCTCCCTTGGCCATGAAGTCCTCAGACATCATGGCAGTAACATTTCCCAACTGGTGCCCTGTTCCAGGGAGGGCGTAAAGGGGACACACAGACAGAAATGCCCTGCACTCTCAGCTCAGCTGGGAAGAGCAGCACAAGGAATGGAGGGAAGATGCTTTTTACCTTGCCTAAATCCAGCTCTACAGTTAGCTTAGATCAAGACCAAACGGTTTTGGTACCATACAATGCACCGGCATGTCTGCTTATTTCTGTCACAGTCATGAGCAAGTGGATCCAGACCCAAGTAAGTGTGGGGAACATCTGCAAGGTCAGCACTGCATGCTGGCACCAATGGGTCTGGGACAGGGAGCCCAATCTCCACGAGGGAAGGGGATCACCGGAGGAGACCCAGCAGCCAAGGAATATGTAAACGTGGTGAAAGAGTGGACCAAGCTCACTTAAGCTGAGTGAAACTTGGCTACAAAGCACCTTGCACTATAGATTCATAGAATCTTTGGGCTCGAAGGGACCTTCAAAGGTCACCTAGTCCAACTCCCCTGCAATAAGCAGGGACATCTTCAACTAGATCAAGTTGCTCAGAGCCTCGTCCAACCTGACCTGGAATGCTTCCAGAGATGGGGCATCTCCCACCTCTCTGGGCAACCTGGGCCAGGGTTTCACAACCCTCGTTGTTAAAAATGTCTTCCTTACCTAGTCTAAATCTACCCTCATTTAGTTTAAAACCATTACCCCTTGTCCTATCACTACACTCCCTGATAAAGAGTCCTTCCCTGTCTTTCTTATAAGCCCCCGTGAAGCACTGGAAGGCTGCAATAAGGTCTCCCCAGAGCCTTCTCTTCTCCAGGCTGAACAGCCCCAACTCTCTCAGCCTGTTCTAACAGGAGAGGTGTTCCATCCCTCCAACCATTTTTGTGGCCCTCCTCTGGACCTGCTCCAACATGTCCATGTCTCCTGTGCTGAGGACTCCAGAGCGGATGCAATACTCCAGGTGAGGTCTCACCAGAGCAGAGCAGAGGGGCAGAATCACCTCCCTCAACTTGCTGGCCACGCTTCTTTGGCCCAGGATATAGTTGGCCTTCTGGGCTATAAGCACCCGTTGCTGGCCCATGTCCAGCTTTTCATCCATCTGTACCCCCAAGTCCTTCTCGGCAGGGCTGCTCTCAATCCCTTCATCCCCCAGCCTGTACTGATACTGGGGGCTGCCCCAACCCAGGTGCAGGACCCTGCACTTGGCCTTGTTGAACCTCATGAGGTCTCACAGGCAGTGTGAGACTCAGCACTGTGGCCAAGTGAAGGCATATGCACCCTGGAGATGGGGACACCTCAGAGGAATAGCCAAGTCTAAAAACATACCCATGAAATCCTTCAAGAAAAAAAAAAAAATCCCCAAAGCTGCTTTTTCATCTATTTGGAATCTGTATGAATATGTTTTGGATGAATATATAGTATCTACACTTCAACTAGTTGAACACTTCTGGAGCCAGAGATGAAACTGTTTATCAAAATGAAAAGTGTAATTCTGGTATTTATATTCTGAAGGATATGCAATGCATCACAAATGTAATTCACAGAAGGTAGCGGTTCATCTGAATTCTACAAAATTCCATTTGCAGAAATAGACCAGAAGAAGTGTTAGAAGTGACAGGCTGGCGAGCTATTTCTATAAAAAGATTCACAGATATTTAAACTAGATTAAATTCCAGACTCTAAAAAGTTGCCTTTTAATGTGCATTATTTCCAATCTGTAAAGTATCGTACCTTCTATGCATTTGCAAAAGCATGTATTATTTACATTATTTAACATTTGCATTCTGATTGCAATCAGATGTCTTTCAATAAAATAAATAAAATTACAGTGCTAACCTAGAACCATCAAACTCTCACTTCCATTATCAATCAATGCCACTCTACTGCTGACTGCAACTCAATTAAAATCCAAAATTATTTGAATAACTGGATGGAAGTTTCTATCATAAAATGTACCTTTTTATTAGGAACCTTTTGCGTAGAAAATTGACAGCACAGGAATTATGGGTGGTTAAAAAGTGTTTTGTAACCTGGGCTGGGAAAAGCTACGCTGATGAACACGGAGGGGAAAGGGGAAAAGTGTCACTTCTGGAGGAGGCATTTGACTCTAAAATTGGAACTTTCGGCTCAGAGCAGAGCCAAAATGATGCAACTCTGCATCACATCATGTGTTACTGTGAGGTTTAGGAGAGTCAGTCTTTCTATGCCTCAAAGTTTGTTATTTCTACTGATGGTAAAAGAAAAAAGTAGTTATATATACTTAGACCACCTTACCACATTGCCCACAGTGGTATTTTGAAATATGCCAGTCAGTGATACCGATGTTTTACGTGATCTCAATACCAAATTCTTTCATTTCTTTATTTCTTACATTAATTAACACCAGGTAAGTAGCTGGTTTTTAAACATAGTTTTTAACAGGGCATCTCTCTTAAGCCTCTTGCAGCTGATTATTTTCTCCTTGTCCTGCAAGAACTCAATGTCATTTGAAACAAAAGTCCTATGAGGAAATCCTCAAGTATAAATTTGCTTCTTAGTTTTTAATTACATTAATTTTCTACCTGAGCTTTGACTTTTTTGACCAAAGTGTGGATAGCACATTCTCCTTTGCCCAATGCTGAAAAGCTGAACCCTGATATTGATAACATACACAGATAGAAAACATGATCACACTATTTTAATTTCAGTATGCCAACTCTAGGTTAAAAAAAACAATTAAAAAAAATTGATACTCTAGGCTTAAAGTCTAATTTTACAAAATAAACTTCAAAGATGAAAAGGATTCTATTTTTTCAGGTGTAATTATCTAGGACTTACTTGGCACCTAGAAGTTACCATGGACAACTGTTTTTATGAACAAAAAAATCTCCTATGGAACATATTTTTTAGCTGATCTCAAGTATCTTTAGATCATAATATTTTAAAGCAAGTATAGGTGCTCCAATGTATTTTCAATGGAATATTATTGTCTTCTACATTGCACCACAAAACCATATTCAACCGTGAATAATACCTACTACAGTTTTCATAGATTTCTACAGAGGTGGATCACTGAAGATTACACAGAGAATTTAAAACAGGCTATTAGGTTATGATGATTCACGTCTGACAAAATAACTTAAACTGGCACGCAGGAAGAAATGGAGCACGCCAAAAAATCACAGATAAGTAAATGGAAACATTATAGATGAGCAAAGTAATGCCAAAATGTGATTGATACTAAAAGAAACAACTCTTGATAGAAACAGTCATGTCCATATTACTTTTCCATTGTGATTATTGTTGTTGACTTTTGTTCCCTGTATTACATTTTATACCTTTCCTTCCACTTTCCTTGTAACTTCAGGCAAGGAAACATCTTTTTAGCTGCTTTACAAACTAAAGTTGCAGAAAGTAGTGAACACTGTTTATCACAAGTGCATGACAATTCGCAAATATGTTGGAAACTGTCCGCTTCATAGAAATGTAAAATACTTTCACACATACACAGTCCCGCTCTCTATAAAACTAGCACCAGAATAGATACTTACGTCCTTTTGACTCTACATGCTAGCAGTGTCCCTTAGGCAAGCTCTGGAAAACCTTCTTGTAAGACAGGCTACAAAGAATGCCATAATTCAAGGAATTCACTTTTTTTCATACAGATAGTCCTTCAAAGTGATCATTTAGATGGTATCTGTTAAAATGAAAGCTACTCACCCTTTTTCTCAAGTTGTAGGTCAAAATGAGATTTCTGGAGAAGGAGTGTGAAAAGGCTGTGTAGAACTCCAGCACTTTCTGCAAGGCATCTCTCTTTATCACATGAAGATCACAGTAAGTCAAAGCCCTTACATTAGCACAGGACTGGGCAAGGGTAGACTCCTTCCAGAAGACATCACCAAAAACATCTCCTTTGCCTAGAGAAAAGCAGCAGCATTGCTTTCAATAACGATACTATTTCCACCAAAAAATACAAAAGAACATACAATTAATTTATGAAGCCAAGGTTCTTCTATTTTATGCAGCCAGAAAAAAATTCTGTCTGGGGAAAAAAAAAAAAATCTTTGAAATATTCCATTGATAACCTTTTCCACTATCTTTTTGTTGATTACAACAGCCCAGCAAAATTTCATAAGAATAAACTGCAACCAAAAAGTGTTTCATGTGACAACTCCCCTTTAAATATCAGTAAAGGTTTTTCTCTAAAAATCAAGAGTAGCAGTTCATTCTAAGTTCATGTTCTCTTCTGATCCCTTTCAAAGAGATTAATTAAAAGAAAATGCTTTTTCCCTTTCTTCTTTTAACTGGCATGCAAAGGATTTGCTTCTTACATCTCTGGTGCTGAGTATTCTTAAGCTGGCTAACAATTACGCACTATTGTGTCAATAAAATCTTCTAGTATAACACGTCAGTGCAGTTACAGTCTGTAACGAAACACCACTATACATTAGTATCAAAGAAAGTTTGCCCTAGTTCACTAGACCATTGCCAGAAAAGTCTATCTTTACAACACTACAAAAGAGCAGATCTCTCAGCTCTGGTGGCTCTAATGTTTTTCAGCTGGTAAGAGTCTCAACAAAATCTTTCAGTAGTTTTGCGTGTGTCCCCCTATATAATACAGCAGAGGTTTAAAGCAACAACGTTATCCAAAACAAGAAGAGTACAGGTTAGTTATCACCAAGAGAATGCTGACAAGGCGTGACTATTTAGCCATTACAAATTGGAAGAAATAAAACATGGCCATTTCCTTAAAACCTTCCCACGTGCCTGCCTCTATGCCCTGGGGGCAGCCACTGAAATCTCTACTGAGGAATACTGCAATGGGGGCATGTGCACTAGTCTGGGCACTGTAATGTGGGGCAACTATACCAAAACCTGCCTGAGGAGCAGGATTTCACCCATCAGGTTTCACTGATTATACCCCCACTCAGGCTGGGCACAAAGGGAAATGTTTAGGAGAAAGTTACAAGCTCCTTTACAGAATAATGGTTGTCTTTTTTCTGTTTGCCGACATATAATGCTAATAAGATAAGAATATTCAGTTGCTAGCTTGATAATGAAAACTACACTGTTCTTGTTTTGAATGGTATTTTCCTCTTAAACTGTATTATATCACCACTTCACTTAAGACAAACAACAAAAAAGCACATTCACAGTGTCTATCAAGTTGTGGTAGGGATGGACCAGATGGTCCTTTGTCTTACAAATAATACTTTGCCTGTAGCAATTCTTAAAGCCAAAGCATATAAATACGTATTAGTTTATTGACTCACCCAGGCCCTTTTAGATTTCATTCCCTAAATAAAGAGTCATGTACGAAAGTCCATGTGAAAGTCAAGAGAACTATCATGAACAGAGCTCAAGAAAACTTCTGAATTAAACCCAGAACTCCCATCTCAGCCCTTGAGCTGTCCTTCCACCACTACATAATCTCTCCCGTTACATGCTAAGCTGCTTTGAGGAGAAGCTATCAGCGTGACAGTAAGCTACGCTATAGTGCAATAAGCTGTGGTTCACACTGATGTGCTCCCAGTCTTCCACAAAAGCCCTCTGCAGTCCACATGGCAGGGACCGGTTTAGTCTCTGAACACTTTGGAGGAGCATAGACTATATTTCAATTTTTAATGTATATATATCCTGAAACCACCTGTTCCATAAGCACATTTCTTCCCCACAAAGTTAGGTAAAGGCACCATAGTCATACCCTGTCTTCCGCCTCTAGTCTCTTTACATAGGACAGTGCCAATATCCAGAAATACTACAAAGGCTGCGTATCAGTAAGCACAGTGGTAGTCCAATAGCCCAGTGCAGTAAGCAACTTTTCATTTTAATGGCAATGACTTTTCACATTTTCAATTATTTAAACATACGCTTTTCCAGTAGATACATTTAAAATGGCCTAAGAAAAAAGCTTCCATGCACTTAAAATAGATCATCATCTACAAGGCTTTTAGACAGACAAACACACAATATATTCAAAATTGAAGTGAAACAATTTTTATGCACCGTAAAAACTGATATGCTTCACTGGGTAAAAATGGATTGTTTGCCTTTGGAATAAATATGCTTTTACTTGCAATCTTCCAGGCAATTAGCTAAACAACTGTTTTAATTAACACTCTGGAATTTATCAAGTATAGAAATGTGCCATCACTGATGAGCAACAGTTAGAGCTGGTAGACCAAGCATAAGGGAGAGGAATTCTAGCTCGTTTCTAAGCTTATTTCTTAATATCTTCAGACAAGTTTCCCTACCTTAAAATGACAATAATTATTTTATTGCCCCACACTAACATGAAGAGTAATTAGTACAATGCAAGTACAAACAGCATGGTGCTGCTTTGCTCACAGATGAAATGACATACAGCAGAAGTTAAAGTTACATCTAATTTAATACTGCTTTTCACATAATACAGAAAGACACAACTGTGTCCTTCATTTGTGGCAGCAATCCCAGTTTCCCCTTGCTATTTGTAACTCCCAAAAAACTCCCCCTCCTGCAGTTTCCTGCCATCCCAGTGAGCTGCTTCCCATTTGTGGCGAGAGCAGCACATGAAGGAGCTACATCTGCCGGGTGCCCACTGAGCCAAGACAAACAGAGAAAAGCAACACGTGAAGCCCAAACTGAGTCAGATCACAGAAGCCTCCATTTCTAAGAAACAAACCAGGCTAAAACAAGAAGTTGTACTGTTTTCTATCATTAACAATTTCCTTGAGGTTAATTGAGTTAACAGCCAGTGATCTAGTCGAAAATCAATCCTACATTACAGTTCGATTTCCAAGGCAAGGCGCACGTGCAAGCATCACACTGCTTTGTTTCTGTCAAGTGCATTTTCTAAATGACACATACTAAAAGTATCAATCTGGATTCTCAGATTCTAAAAAACCTTGTGTTTGACATTCACAGAAAAATGGGGGGAAAAAGGAGCAGTAGGAAGTTTTTCTAGTAAGCAGGAATTAAAATTCCACCCAGGAGTATATGCACTGGATTAGAACAATTGTCCTCTTGCATGTAATAAGGAACTGCATACCATCTCCTTTTGTTTATATAGTCTGCATGAAGTAAGATCAATCACTCAGGGAAAAGGATTTAAAAAAAGAAATAGGGCAGATTAAGCAGGTGTTTTATCAAAAACATCTGTAATTGGAAAGCAACAAGAGTAAGGTGAGACTTCTAAGTGTGTCAGAAGGTGGTTGGCAAAGTCTAGTGGCTGCATTAAAGAACCTGAGTCAAAAGCCTCTTTTTACATATAACTCCAGGCTTTACATATATATATGTATATCTCACCTTACTTCTGAAGAAAGATTAAAAAGCTAGAGAAATGCAGATGGCCATTTGTTTGTCAGTACTTTGCATTTCTCATTCCCAGCTTGCTGAATTCCAGACATTTGCCAGGAACACTATCTGTCAATCACACTTAAAGTGGATGATCTAAGCTTTTAGTGTCAATCATTTATATTCCCTGTTGGATTTGTGGGCTGAGGATCTTTTCCACTGTCAACTCAGTATGCACTGGAAAGCCAAGTAGTTTTCTGCCTTTTATGTTTGCTTGTTCGTTTTAATTATAATAACAAGTCCCCAAACCCTGACATATTTAAACACTGAAGAATTATTTTATAAAATATGCACCTTCTGTTTCCATATTTATTCTTTCCGCTCCATATCAAATTTGCTATTTATTTTATAAGTGAAAAGAGGATTTCTCTGTTACCACTGCAAATTCAGCCTGAATCAGGCAAAAGGTCAAGTCACATCCACTCTGTCTCCTGAAAGTAGGATCAGTAATGAAGATCTGATTATTGCAACTTAACCAAGTGTTTTGCTGATTCTGTTCAAGAACCATGCTTGCACATTACAGCTGTATTGCCTTGATATGCCTACCAGAACAATCCTTCGTTTTTTCACTCCTACAAACATGAAGTAGTGAAGAGCTCTCAGACAGCAGATATGCCACCCTACTCTGAAAAATATGACTCTATGTGGAATATTTTGACTGATAACCTACTTAGTTCACTTTTGGATTCTGGGTGTCTGGGAGTCATGGTGTAGTTTTGGTGTGATAGTAGCTGGGTGAGAAGATGAGGCCAAGTGTTGAAGGTCTTGCAAATCAGTATGGACTTTGATGGGATTCACATGAATCCATGGATTTTCAGTACATCAGACAAAATACTCATGTTAGAATCATTCTCAAATCAATAGTAATGGCTGTTACAGCAGCCAACACTAGAATGTAGCTCAGGTTCCTGCCAGATCTGCCTTCATCTGCATGTTAGAACTACAGAAGAATTGTGATTTGACACAGCCTCAGCAGACCCAAAGGTAAGTTAGAATGACCAAACACTACTTGCTGGTGCCTCAGCAGCAATGCAGCACTAAGTGTATCTTGGAAATCAGGTGTTAGCAAACACTGTTATCTGTGATGCTGATCCACAGCAGCTGCTGCCACCTGCGCAGTGACTTTGCCAGCACGGCTCCCCGAAGCGCCCACGCTGGCTTGCGCCCTCGGGATTTGTTCTCCACCTCCAAGCAGTGGGAGACACCAGCTGCTGTAAAGGCAAACACAGATTCTCTACGTGTCAGTCTCTATTCTGGTGACTGCTCAGTTAAAATGCTGCTGGAATTTAAAAACAAACAAAAAACTTGGCCTGATTCCCCACCCACCCGCCCCCACCTCAAAGAGATTTGAACAGAACCAGGGGATCTGAAGTTAGTCCATGTCACAGCGTCCTACCAATTGTGTTCAAGCATAATTCCACTGAGGACAGTGTATTTACCCCTCTAGTGTTCCAAGCCAGTGATGTGAGACCCTGGTCAAAACCCCTCTGTGATCACCACGTGTCTATGTGGCTTCAACTGAAAATCCTTCCCTCTCCTCTCTTCCCTCATCTCTCCTTATCCGAGTAAGGCATGCAGTTTA